TCTCTCTCTCTCTCTCTCTCTCACACACACACACACACACACATACACACAACCCAAAGAAAATAGTTTAATTTGTAACTTTTAAAAATCATCTTAATATACATGAAAAAGACTGAGTATATCAACAGTTATCTCAAAGTAACCTACACAATTATAGGCTAATATTTCTTTTTCAGGTCTATTATATTGATATTCAAGTCAATTTAGACATGACTTGTTCAAACAAAACAGAATGACAGCAGTTAATCCACCTATAAATTGAATATACAAATGCAATAAATATTTATTATTTCAGCCAATTCTCCTATTACAATAAAACCTTCTGCAGTCTTTCCCTCCATTAAAGGGTAAAGAGGCTGAACTTTACCTCTAAAAGGCTCTATGCTGAATCCCTAACCCTTGGGATCTCAGATAGAAACAGGGTCACTGCACATGTGGTAAGTTAAAATGAGAGTGCATCAGAGTAGGCTAGACCTAAACCTCCTGTGAGTGCAGAAAACGGGGAAGTCTGGACACAGACACCCAGAAGGTAGAACGCCCCGTGAAGATGCAGCAGAGATCAGGTGACGCTTCCATGAGCCAGGCGACACCTAGGACCCCAAGCAGATAGGAAAGGTATGGAACAGGCTCTCTCCCACAGTGCTCAGATGGACCCTGTGGGCACCCTGACCTTGGGCACTCTGTCCTCCAGAGCTGGGGACAATGCATTCCCCATGACCCTGACCTTGGGCACTCTGTCCTCCAGAGCTGGGGACAATGCATTCCCCATGACCCTGACCTTGGGCACTCTGTCCTCCAGAGCTGGGGACAATGCATTCCCCATGACCCTGACCTTGGGCACTCTGTCCTCCAGAGCTGGGGACAATGCATTCCCTGTGGTAGGACTCCCAGTGCCACAGCAGCCTCAGGCCCCAGAGGCCCCAGAAAGCTTCAAGGCCCACCAAGTGGATCTCTAGGCTAGACCGCCTTGCCTTCTCTGTGAGCTCCAAGCTGAGAAAAAGGCCCTGTCTGAACAAACAAGGTGGAAAGCCACAGAGAAGTGAGAGAGAGAGAGAGAGAGAGAGAGAGAGAGAGAGAGAGAGAGGAAGGATACCAGGTGTATCTGCAGAAGCAGCAGGAACCAAAACTCCAGAAGAAACCAAGGTACAGAAAGATAAACAGTAACTATTGATACTAAGTCAAACTTTATATATGAGATAATCTTATTTCTGTCAAACTCAAATTTAGGAGCTGGAGAGATTGTTCCGTGGTTAAGAGCACTTGCTGCTCGTTCAGAGAGCCCAGGTTCAGTTTCTAGATAGTGGCTCACCTCTATCTAGTTCCAGGGATCAATGTCCTCTTCTGGCTTCTGCAGACAATGCACACACATGGTGTACATACATGCATGCAGGATAACACTCATTATGTAAAATAGAAATGAATAAATCTTTAAAAACAGTTTAGGGGCTGGAGATATGGTTCAGTGGTTAAAAGCACCTGTTTTTTTCCAGAGGACCTGGATTCAGTTCCCAACACACACATGGCAGTGACAACTGTTTGTAACTCCAGTTCCTGGGGATCTGACCCTCTTCCAGCCTCTGCAGGCACTGTATACATGTGATGCACTTACATACATGTAGGAAAAATAAGTCATACACATAAAATAATATTTTTAATAAGAACATTGCGGCTAGAGATATGGCTCAGCAATTAAGAGCACTGGCTGCTCTTGCAGAGGACCCAGATTCAATTCCCAGCACCCACATGGTGTTTAACAACCATCCATAATTCTAGTTCCAGGGAAATCCAATGCCTTCTTCTGACCGCCACGGGCATTTTACAACACAGGTAAACTTAAACATATATGAATAATTCTACCACTTTCTACTCTGAATGATAAATATTTAAGTTTTATTCTATTTTTTTGTCTTTTTGAGTCAGGGTCTCCCTATAGCCCCAGCTGTCCTGGAACTCACCATGTAGACCAGGCTGGCCTTAAACTCACAGAGATCCGCCTGCCTCTGCCTCCCAAGTGCTGGGATTAAAGATTTTATTCTATTTTTAATTTGAAGTGACATGAGATTATATTTAGTGTAATTTAGTAAAATCATGTTAATATGAATTTTACACATATTTCATGATACATAAAGCAGTTTCATGAAGATCTCACACTTCTCCATCCCAGACTTAAGAACCACAGTAGAAGGGTCAGGAACCCTCCCAGATTCAGAAGATGCTTGCCAAATCAGGAGGGAGTTGAACTTGAAATTCAGAGAGAGGGTTTTAACTTGTTTGGCATGCATGCCCCAGAGTGAAAGGCACTTCAATCAAAAGTACTTAGTGCTTCTTCAAAGACAGTAGTTGAAGAGCAGACGTGGAGGTTCACGCCTGCAATCCGAGCACTTAGGAGGCTGAGGCAGGAAGACTGCCTTGAGTTTGAGCTCTGCTTCCACTATAAAGTGAGCTTGAGGACAGCCTGGGCTACAGAGTGAGATCCTGCCTCAAATGAAGAGATGCTAGTGAGCACAGATGTGGTGTTATTTCTTCTTCACCATTTCCCAAGGTGTCACTAAGGGACAGAGTGTATGGCAAGGGGACAGCTCCGGAGATGCGGCTGCCCCTTCCCCAGGTGCCTCCTACTTCCGCAGGACCACCACGGTTTCTATTTCTGTCTGGCTGAAACACGGAAAATTACTCTCCCGGAACTTCAGATGTTTGCCTTTCATGAAGTTGGTTTGTCCAGGATCAAATTTCAAGTGCTACGTGGGCACCTGCCTCTCAAGAAGCAAAAACCAAGCAACCAGACACAAACCACCCCACCCGCTTACAAACCCATGGACCCTGTTCACCTGCGTCCAAAAGTGGTTTCTACATTTCCAAGTCAGAGCCCGTGGATCACGTGTGCTCCTGGATGCACATGTGTTTCCACTTAGGATTTTGGAATGCATATATGATCCCACAAAGGGTGATAAATATTAGCAAATCTTCTAAGAATGAAAGTCCTTTAGGACTGTGTGGGCCATGTTTTAATTTGGCTTATAACATGTATGACTCACACGAGGCTGAAAGGTCTGCTTTTTCCATCTCTCTGTGAGATAAAGTAAGGAAGAAAACCCTCCCCAGACAATCCATCCGGACGGTTACAGCTAGACAGAGGCAGCGCTGTGAATGGGGCTGTCTTCTCTGGTCTTGAACCTGTTTGACCAGCCTATCCTAATTGGTCAGCGACTTAGGGTAAGCTGGACATGAACCGGTGTCTGCTACAACCACATCAGAGGCTTCAGCAGGATGGAGATTTTTGCTGTGAGAATCTAAAGCACAGACAGAGACTGGTGAACTGGGATGTTCTATCTGCCCGTCACAGCATTAAGTTTTTTAAAATTTAACCCCCCCTTTAATGCATTTGTGTGTGAATGTGTGTGCGTGTGAGTGTGTTCCTGTGTGCAAGTACACACACACACACACACACACACACACACACACACACATATATGGTACGCATGCACATGAGTGCATGTGGACACCAAAGGACAACCTCAGGTGTCAGTCCCAGCCACTTCCTTTGAGACAGGGTCTTTCAGCAGCCTGCAGCTCATCAATCAGGCCAGACTGTCGCAATCAACGAGCCCCAGGGATCTGCCTAGCTCTGCCTCCGTAGAGCTGGGATTACAAGCATGCACCACCATGGTTGGCTTTCATACATGGGTTCTGGGGATCACACTCAGGTCCTCAATGTTTGCCTGTAAGTGGTTTCCTGACTAAGCTATTCCCCCAGCCCCAAAACGACTCCATTCAGGAACACTCTCCCCATGCAGGCCAAGTTCCTCACCACACAGGATGGTGCATCTCACCTAGCACAAGGAACGCCAAATGCGTCAAGTACAGCAAGCTTTCATACAGTTCTATTTCTTTGTGGAGAATTTCCTTCCCAACCCACATTTCTTGACCTGACTTTTACTCTTCTAAAGACTGCAAGAAGCCCTCACAACCTCCTGAAAACCAGCCATGGGCCTAGCCCCCTCTGACCCTGGACACTCCTACTGTGAATTCATGTTGCTGTGTCTCCAGATGTCATACAGCCCTCTAAGGCAGGACATCCCTGGCTCATTTGACCACCCCCACATGCAGCACAATGTGTCAGCCCTGATGAAGCCTGCTTTTAATACTCTCAGAAGGAAATAGAGATGACCAATCTGATCCCCCCAAAAAGTGGATCGTACAGGAGATAAGAGAATGAAGGTTTCCCGGTGGCCCCTAGGGTGTTACTTAACCCCATGTATAACCCAGCTTCCTCTTCTGTGACCACTTCTCCACACATGTTTTCTGAATCCCAACACAACGACACAAACACAATAAAACCAACGAGGAAGAGAAGATGGTGGATCCAAGGCAGTCTTTTCAAAGGGGAAGACACCCTCCTGTGTCTAACACTGTGAGACAGCACTAGAATTCATCAACTACCCTTCCTCATTTCATGGGTTCCCAGCGGGGCCCAGCCCTATTTCCCCTGGCCACGTGCTCATCACTAGCCCAAATGGTGTCAATGAAGGCCGGAATGCTCCAGGGACAACAGGGACGGAATGAGCATGGTGGCCATTCGAGAGCAAGCAGGTCTCAAAGAACACCTTTCACACATTACAAACCCAATCCACGTGCTGCTCACCAGAAGGAGGGGCAGCCTAAGAGACAACCATCCACCTCCGTGCCAGGCATGGCCAGGGAAAGAGGAATTAGCACATGGCAAGAAAGGATGATCGGAACAGGTCTGTGTTGGTCTGGTCATGAAGCCTGGCAGCCTTCCCTGGGGCCACCACTTCCGGCTGAATCCTCAAACCCTGCTCTCTCCCTAGGGAAAGGCCAGGGGCTTCAGGTACAGGTGCTGATGCCAGGCTACTATGCTTACTGAACCCCAAGCCAGATGAGAGTAAAACACCGCTTACCTTCTGAAAAAAGTCTTCCCCGCTCCTGCCTTTTCCCTCGGCCGCAGCTGCAAATAAAAAATAAAAACATACACATTTAAAATACTTTGTTTCAATTTGTCTATTCAAAAACACTCAAACAGCAGGTCTGCAAACCCGAAGATAAAATGGAAGCCATCCTGGCTCTTCCACACCTCAGTGCCTCATGGGAGATGCCAAGCTGAGCAAGCATAGAATATGAAACCCCGTCAGTTACACATCTTTAGAGTATGTGGAAGACCGAGTGAGTCTCCATCTCCACACTGAGATGAGATGTCTCTGCCCTTTCATGGTAAAGGAAGTGTTCAAGAATGAATGCCATGATCAAAGCCACCAGCTGCGCTCCCCGAACTTGCCCTCTGTAATCAATCCCAGACACCAGGCCACACATCAAGCCATAGCACATCCAACTTCTTTGCCGGTTCGGCTTTATGCTTTTGTCAACTCAAGTTTCCAGGAAAATTGTCATGCCTGTATTGAGGATTTTACAAAGCAGACTACTGACTAGAACTTTATGACCACAGAGAGTTGAGGTTGCAGATCCAGAGCCCAATTATCTTGTTTTATCTTCCTGTCCCATTACTTTGATCACTGTTGTGTCTGAGCTAACAGCCTCAGGATCATCAGGTGACAGCTTCTGGAATGGTTTAACTCAACAGATCCGCCAGCTTCCATCAACCCAAGACTGTCAATCAGAGAGCATCTGAGGCCTGTGGCAGACTCCCTGCTTTGCTATAACCCACCTACCAGATGTTCCCACCAATGCACTTGAAAAGGTGCCTTGATTTATAAAAGCTTCACTTGATGAAACTATCTCCTCATAAGAACATGTCATTTGGAGCAACCTGGATCCACATCTCAAGCCAAGCCATTCACGTTCGGCTCAAGAATAAACTTACTCCCCTAACCGCACCCTCCTCCCTAGAATTCGTCAACCAACCTTCCTAATTTCTCCCCGTCATTCCTCAGTCAGGCCCAGCCTGTCCTCACCCCACTACAGGGCATGACGAGGTGAGAGCCACGTTCTGTGAAAACAGTTTACGATGACCCCTTGCCCTCCTGAGATCCCAGCCGGCCCCCCACAGTACTTGAACCCTTCCTCCGCGCACACACAGCAGGAGAGACAAGAATTAATAACGATGGTGATTAATAAGAATTAATAACGATGGTGAAAAGCACAGTCGGTCGTAAACGTCACGTGAGAAGATGCTACGTCAGAGGCGTACGTCCTAGTCACAGTAGCCTGTGGAAGTGGGGTAAACCCACGGCTCCTCCTGTATCCTCAAACATCTTGTGACTCTGTGGATTTTTATTCATTTGTGGTGGGAGACAGTGACTGACAGGTGAGAAGGTAACATAACTGCACCTGCTTGTCAGAGCATCAGACCAATGCTTTCCACAGACACAGGGCAGAGCAGCAAGTTAGCCAGATAAATGTACACAAGCAAGCTGGGCTCCAGCTCCTGGAGGCCAGAAGACGTGGTGACCCCAAACCTGCTGCACGTGCGCATGTGCATATGTGAGTGCATGTGCATGTATGTGTACATGTGCATGTGTGTCCATGTGTTTGTATACATCTGTGTTTATATAGGAGTCTATGTACGTGTATCCATATGCATCTATGTGTGTGTTTGTGTATCCATGTGTTTGTATGCATGTGTGTTTATATATGCATGTAAGTACATGTGTTTATGAGTGCATGGATATGTGTATATATGCATGCCTGTGTGCATGTGAATATGTGTATGTGTTTGTGTCTCTATATGTACATGTGAGTGCATGTGCTTGTGTATGCATGTATGCATACGTGTATCCATATGCATGTATGTTTCTATGCATGTGCTACTTATATACGCATGTGCTATTTATATATGCATGCATGAGCACTTTATGTATACATGTGTGCATGTATATGCATATGCATGTGTATTTGTGCATGCATATGCACGTGTGTGCATGTGTTTGTATACATGTGTGTGTATGTATGGGTGTATTCATGTGTATGTATGTTTCTATGTACATATATTTGTGTCAATATGTGTACAAATGTGCATATTTGTGCATTATGTATTTGTGTGTGCATGTGTGTCTGTGTGTGGGCATTGTGTGTTCACATGATTATAGACACAAATTTAAAGGGTCAGTTACTTAAGAATCGCACTTGTCACTTGCTCTGATGAGCGACTACTGTGAGTCTGACATTTTAGGTAAAGTGACAACTAGTAAGACTTAAACCCTTTCACCAACTCAAATTGAACAATCACAGGTAAGCGCCTTCCATCAACACATTTCCAGCAAAACAGGGAAGCAGAATACAGGTTTTGGGGATTTCCAAGGACAAAGAAAATACATGGGGGAAAAAAGCTAAAAAGAAACAAAAATATTCGATTTAATGTGGTATGGTTGAAAGACAGCCTAAAGATGTCTAAATCCTAATGTCTGGGACCAGGGACAATGTGACCTTCAGCAGCAAGGTGTGGGGGGAGGGTTGTTCTGACAGGTCCATCATCGTGTCCCTGTAATAAAGAAGCAGGGGTCAGAGCACATGACAGCACGCCAGTGAGGGAGATGGGAGAATCATACACCCACAAACACAGAAACTGGAGATGAAAAGATTTGAAAAGAAGGAAGGGCCACAAGCCAAGGAATTTCAGGCAGCCTCCAGAACTGGAAAGGTCAAAGAAACGCAGTGTCCTATGGGCAGCAAGATCCACTGCAGACTTCTGACCTCCAAGAGTGTAAGATAATGAATGTACTCTGTGCTGAGCCGCTAGACTGGCAGCAGTTTCTCATAGCAGATAAAAGACATGAAATTTCACAAGTGGTTCCAGATCGTTCTGATGTGGTTCCAGATCGTTCATCCATCCTGGGATATGAATAATCTGTTAACTAGTGTATCTGCCTGTATGTGCTACCCAGGGCCCGGTGAATGGCAGGGGCCCTCTGACGAGCATTGGACTATTGTGTAAGGGTCACCTGAACACATCAGCACCATGAAGCTGCAACTTGTGCCGATAGCTGAGGTAGGTTCTAAATGTGACTAACGAGTGGGTAGCTCATAAAGGGTGGATACACTAAACAGATGATTCATATCCCAAGAATGATGAATGCTGTGGAACCACAAAAGATTTTATCATGTCTTTCAGACTAGTCTGTAATTTAAAACTTAAGAATACTACAGGCCTTAACAAGGGACATACGGATAAAAATTGGTATTATTAATGGAGAAATGGGAAAAACGGGGGCACCTTAAGTGGGAAAACCATGATGGAGGGGTGAGACAATG